AGGATTCCGGCCCTTTTTTTGCGCCCCTTTAGCCCCCGGGGAAAAATTTTGAGAAATCGAGCTCCCGGGCTTTTTCCAAACCATCCTTACCCCCACCGTCCCCAAATCGTTGGGGAGGCTTCCCGGGCCCTTTTTGAAGGCCCCCAAGGACAGGGCCCGCTTTAGCCCCCTCCGGGGAAAACCCCATACCAACCCGCAGGCCCCCGTGGTTATATTTTGGGTAAAACTTCATTTCTTAAAAGGCTATGTCCAGGGATGGACAGGGAGCCTATAAAAAAGGGCTGTTTATGATTGATGATGATTAAAGTTATGAATAATTGTAAAAAGCAAGGGGTAAAAATTTGGGGTAAAAGATACAAATGTTCATCTTTTTTGTTTATTCACTGAAGGGGGATCAACCCTCTAAAAAGGGCCACATTTAAATCCTTTAATGACCCTTTTATTATGATTTCTTATGTTAAAAAAATTTCTTTAAATGTGGTAGTATGAATGATTAAATAAATTTAGTATTTTAGCAAAAAATGAGTTTTGACATTTTTTTTTTCAAAAGAATTATTTTTTACTATTAAATAGCGATTATTTTAGAAATGGGGGTATGCAGTGTTTAAAATGGGTTAACTTCTAAATTTAAATGCTATGAATTTTTCAGGTTATTTGTGAATTTTTAAAAGAAAGTTTTTTTTCATCAAAATTTTTTTTGTCCCCATACCCGCCAACTCCACTAAACGGCCGAACGTATATCCCTAATTAAAAAAAATTGTATTGAAATTTTTAAAATAAGGGCAAAATCCCTAAAATGCCTTTTAAAATTTTACTTAAATTTGAGGCAGATCATGCTTTAGGTACGTAGTTGGGAAGTCAAAAGAGTCTACATAAAAAAAAGTAACTAAGGAAAATTTGGGTTTGGGGAAAAATTTCTTAGGTAAATATTATAGAATGAAGGGGCGCTGCAAAATTTTTTCAAGGTTTTAAAATTTTAAAAAGTAGGGTTCGGGGGGGGGAAAAGTCGCCCGGGAAGGTTATTTTTTTTGGGTGTGGAAAAAAGTTTTGACAATTTTTTACAAAAATGAAAATCAGCCGAAAATTTTGGTTTCCCAATGGGTTTTCCCCCCACTACCCTGGGAAAAAATTATCATACTTATACTTTTGGGGAAAATTTTAAAACCGGAAAAGGGTTTTAAAAATTCTCCCCCAAAGAGATCATTTATTTACAGATGGTTTTTTTTTGGAAACAGGAGCTATTTCTGCTATACAATTCCCCGCCGCCGGGGAACTATGTTTTTTCGTTTGGGGCCCTTCCCTTCCCGGGGTGATTGAGGGACCTTTTCACCTGTTCCGTTCTACAAAAAACTGGTTTAGTGCTTCCAAATCCTAAGTTAACAGAAGGTAGGAAAGCAAACTACACCGATATTGCAATGTAACCTAAAATAATATATTTCAAACACATGTTCAATGGTTAGCTTCTAAATTAATCAACATAATTAAGGAATCATATATATATATTTAACTATTTCTACCCGGAGCTATATTCATGTAAAAGTTATTTATTTATCTATCTATCTACAGTCATAGTTACTTTTACTTCTGGATGAGAGGTTTCTATGTTTTTTTTTTGCGCCAAACTCACTACTGCATTTATAAAATTAATAGTTAAGGTACTAAATGTTTCGTAACCCATTGGATATTTACAATAGTTCCGGCAACAGCCAAAGCTAACGATAAATTGGTGTAAGGACCTAGAAAAGATGGTAAAATGTAATTAAATTTTTAAATGACCCAGTAAAAATTTAATTTTAGGGGATAAAGTATGAAATTGCCGATTTGTACTAAAAAATTAAAACCCGTTTTTCTTTCTAACTTCTTTAACTTATTTAATCAAAATATTTACCCGCATTATCTATACATTGCTGCATTGAAGTTCTTTATACCTTTATGATAGAACTCTAGGGATCTAGATTCGACAAAATGTGTAAAAGCATTTTGTACTGCCTCCTAGGAAGTATTTTTTATATCACGTTGAAAATTGTCCAAATCACGAAACAAATGTCCGTTGGAGCAACGTCTGGCGATGGTTGACACATGCGTACGGATGACGTATGGTTTTTAACTGCAGTTCCTGTGGAGTTACAACGGTTTCTCGTGCAGAATAATGGTGAAGATCGATTCACTAGTCGGGGCTATTTCACTGCCAGTTTCGCCATCATTGTTCAAAGTTCGGCACAGTAAACATCTGCTGTTATTGCCTGACAAGATATGAGAAAGCTATAGTGAATACCATCATGTAGAGACCACCAAACAATTACCATTACCTTTTTATTGGGAAGCTATTCTTTGCGGTGTTTGACCTGGAGTCAGACTTTGCATTTTTCCTAACGGTTATCAATTTGATTCGATATTCAATTCGATATTCCTTCATTTCTATACCGATTCAACAAGGCAACACAAGCTTCAACATGCATTTATTTCTGCAGATCAGTCAAATCATGAGGCACCCATTTTTCATATTTTTTTTTATCTTATGGATTTGATGCAAATGAGTCAATATTGTTAGTAGGCTAGCGTATTAGGTCTAGTTGACAATTAGGTACGAGTAAGTACGTGATAAAAGTGCCAACGTACAGTGATCAGATTTGGTCAATTCCTGGGTAGTTTGACTCGGATCGGCTTCCACCATCTTCTTCAAATCAACGTGGAAGACCGAACAACGAACCACGTGGAAGACCGCCCACACAGGTGAGTACACCTGTGTGGGCGGTCTTCCACGTGGTTCGTTCTTCAAGTCGAAGTTTTCACTACGAAAGCGTTTGAATCAAAAACTCACGGTGCGTTCATTAGCAGTATCCTATCCAAACGCAGCGTTAGTTCCGAGTCGGAACTGGTATTCAAAAATGACTCGGATTTTCGAAGTAGTTTCTTTCACATCTAAGCTAAATAAAAACACAATTGAAAGAAGAAAATAGAATGATGCACATTTTTTAAAAGAAGAACCTCATAGGTATTGTGTGTAAAAAGTTTCACACGAAAATCTCACACCATGAAGGTTTTATGTCAATTCAAAATATCTATTACTACCTTTACAATAACAGAATTAATTTAAACTTAAAACACAAAATAATCATGGAATATTCAAGTTAGTCTTATAAATTGTAGTCTCTTTGAATACATTGTTACTGGCAATTGCTTTTAATAAGATAAGAAAAGTCGTGAATTGCTTGAACTAAATGCTGAAATTAACACTAAGACTTCATAACAGTAGATAATAATATTTTACTCGTATACTTACATCGTGAAAATATTTTCTTAGGGTTCATGTTAAGAGTTATGCCCTAGTCAATTTTAAGGTCCTGAAACTATTGAAAAAATAGAGCATCTTGCTATAAATCATTGGTCCAGAATGGCCTCACTTCTATTGCGGATGCTAAGCCATTGTCGTCGTGCGAATAAGGTCGAAACCCACACATCAATCTTAAATATTTATCTCTATAGACAATTAAATAATACCCTGCCTGCCTGAACCAATCACCCTGCTCATCACACTATATTTCCCCTGGGTGGGATTCGAACCCAAGACTAGCAGTTAAGATCGCTTACCACTAGACCATAGACCAACAGTTCATTCTTTAAATACATTTTTTTTAATCATGTTTTTTTGATCAACACATACCAAAAAAAAAAAAAAAAATTGCTTCTTGAAAAAATGCATTTTCAACAGAAGGTTTGATAGATTACTACACACTGTTTTCATGATGATAATAAGGAACATAATTTTCGCTTTCCATATCAAGATGTCACTCATGAATTTTGACACTGATTGGTTACGGTTACGGTTCGTTCTACGCTATAGGTAATTCTAAGAGGGACCATAGGGTTCCCACACGGGGGGGGGGGGCGGTCGTCTACTCGTCTGTAGATGGCCCGAGGTATGTCGGGGCACCAGGGACTTCCTTTCTAGGGTATACCTGGTTCCCCGGCTATTAGTACCCAAGACGGCGTGCGGTTTTAGTCGGTTCGAGTCAGACATGGCATCGGTGGTATCAGAGGGGATTTCCGCAAGGAAAAAAAAAAAGTAATTATTCTAAATAACCAATCTTTTCATTTATATCTTTATAAAATAGTTGAATGCCAAAATTTTCTTAAATATTGAATTTGAGTCTATCTTACTATCAAAACAATATTGGTGCTTTTCTAAATAGTACTCGTAATTTATAGCTGTTACAAGGGGCTCAAAGTAACATTGTTACGATATATCAGGTTATTATTTCATAAAATCGATTGAAATTTCGGCAAAATTGACATGGTGGAAAATTGAGGCTGCATTGTCGCGCGTTAGACTTTTCTCGTTTGTTGTATAAAACAGTTATTGTGGATGTTTGGACTATCCTGATAAACACCCTTAACACCGTCCACCACACCGTCGCACAGTTATTAGAATATATATGAGTATGACGCTAATGACGTATGCGGCGTTGCTAATCAGGGCAAACCACCAGTTCTGGATTGAAACCAAGTATGTACTGAGTTGAATCATTGCAGTCAAAGTGGTGACAGGTGGAACTCAATTCCCTCCTACTGATCAAGTGCAGGTATTTCCTGAAGTACCAGTGCTCGGAAAGAGCCTGGATTAGAATTGACCACAATTGAGGCGCCGGAGGAGGGGATGGGGTTACCACGACGGAGCCCATGGAATAAAAATGCTCCCGGCCACCATTGAGTCTCTGCTGGTTGCAAGGCTCCTGGACCTCAACTATTGGTGTTATCGGAGGAGGAGTGTACGTCCAGCCTTGGAATTAAGTGACGTTATGGGGTTCAGTCGTACCCCGTTTTCCATAGGAGTAGCCCAAGGGCAGACCAGTCTGGAACACCGCTCCACATGGGATGACAACTCAAAACTCAGTTCCGGTCCTCATACATGACTATACGCCTCTCTAAATAGTCTATGTATGTTGATACGGTTGTTACATGTTTAGCTACAACTCTGAATTCTAAGTCTATTGTTTCAGATGCGAAATGGCGTCACAGGTGCTGTTCTTTGTACTTTAAGAAATATTCAATTCCCCCCAAAGCCAGTATATGCGCTGCACTACAGTCCTTTTGAGGAGAATATTTGCTACGCAGCCTGTATGGATGGAGCTGTGTATCGCATTGAGATACCTCACGTATGTGTACTTTTGCCTAGAATACAAATACATTTTCGTACGTAGAGCTAATGTTTATATAAAGCTAAATATCAATTAAAAAAATTGGTACCATTTTTAAGAAAATTCTCACCTTTAAGGGTAGAAAACTAAAGGATGAATTATTAAAGTCGGCTACTATAAATTTCAACTATAGAGTTCAATAAGTCCCATTGTAATTTTTATAGATTACAATGAAACTTATGTTTTATTTACTTAAAACGTGGGAGAGTTGGTTGATACAAATTATTCACAGACAAACAGCGCTCGTTCAAGAACACAGAACCTTGGAAAAATCCACTAAACCCGAGTACAAATTTGTCAGTATTATTAACAGTTATAAAATATCAATCTAAATTTTACATTGTACACTTTCAAATTTACATAACTCCTCAACGTGCTCAATAAATCAAATGGAATTATATATTGCGACACAACAGCGAGTTCATTTCTGTTGTTTGGGATATTGCAAATAACAATAGGGAATAAACAAGATTAAAATGTTTTCCACGATCCCCACAGGTATTAACGGCCTGGCGGTTTGTGAGCAGATAGCCGTTCATCAGATGTTGTTTCTATATTTCTAGAGGGATAGCAGTAGGAAAAATCGTTTCAATGTTGTTTTAAAATTTAATTTGTTGTCGACTAGTCGTAATCGTTTGCAAAATAACTTTTGAAACTTCAGTATTACTAGCGACCGGTCGATCAATTCATTAATTCGTTTAGTTAAAATTGATTTATTCATCTATGTAGAGCGCACTAAGGCAACGCGTTAATACGAATATTGCGTATATACATATTAAAATTGATTTAATCATCTATGTAGTGCGCACTAAGGCAACGCGTTAATACGAATATTTCGTATATACATATTACAATCGATGTTTCTGAGATTAACTAATCTTAATAACAAGCTGTTAAGGTATTGTACCTTAACTGTATTTCTCAAAAATCAAAAACATAAATTCAGAAACTATTACAATTGCATGTTAATTTGAATGAATATGATGATGAATAAGATGAAATGATTTGATGAATAAGATGTGCTGAAATTTTTATGAGCTCTCGTTTTTAGTTCAATCTGAATAAAAACAAGTCAGAGCCCTTTCAAATTAGCAATAAATTATGTAGTTTGAAATCTTGCATATCTTACTACATTCATAATAATAATGATTCTAAATTTGTAACAGATAGATACACCGATGCCAGATCTACCAGTAACTTCTATTCGAGCCGATCCAATTCTAGAAACTCTGAACACGCAGTTTTATGGCAGTCCTGGCATATCCGGTTATTCAACGCCGTTTGTGACACGTTAGTTTTATTTTTAATTTTGCTTGTCTTTATTGAAGGTACGATTATACATCTTAAATGACATTACTACTTCCGTTTTTTTATTTTATGAAATACGGGGTTAAACGAGCAGAATGGTAACCTGAGGCCCAAGTGCAATTTTATTTTACATCTACTCGATCGTCACGGTGACAGCGTCTTAGCTACGATTGGCCCGCACTTAAATCTCCACCAATTGCAACGTTAAACGTGCTCGCCGTCGAGAGCGAGTCGATGTTAAATATACTTGCACTCGGCCCCACAGATGGTAACTACCGGCGCTCATAAACACTTGCGGCTCGAGAGCCACAACTGCGTTGCCGCCCTTTCAACCTCTTTTACTAGAATATGGGGAACGGTATGGGCGCCGGCCTACTAACATGGTGAAAAACAATGAAAGATACTATTTAACACCGGTATTCTGTGAGATCGCAGAATCACTACGGTCGAGCCTGGCCCCAATATGTCGTAGCATGGCTCTCCTTTGGGAAAACTCTCATTTGCCCCATTTCATCAAAGAAGTTGGATAACTTTGAAAACTCTTCAAATCAAGATTTAATCTAACCAAAATTAGCTGTATAAGTTTAATTTATTTTCACCAGAACGCACGCCTGCGCTTTCTCTTGGGGTGCTAGCTGAACAACCTAAGTTGACTGTTGGTTATGATGATGGATCGATCAAAGTTTATGACATGCAAACGCAAGAGGTAGGCTAATTTATCCAATTTTTACAATACTTTTGTGGTAAAGGCAACCAACATTAAATGTTACCAACTGTTAAAATAATTACTATATCGCTATCGTCGAATTTAGTTTGAATATAAAGAAATAAAGAAAGATACGGAACCTTTAAACTTATTTAAAAAATATTTAATTATCACCTCTTAAAAGACTGCAGGATGTAAAAATTCAAATATGTAACGAAATAAAACCTGTAAATAGTCCCTAATTGATGTTTGTCAAACTGCCTACGATATATTTATGTATATTTTACCGTTGTACAGGAGCTCTGCACTAGGTGTAAATGTACCTACTATTTGCAGGGATGCACACGGCACATTTTCCGGTACTTTCCGTATGCGTTATTACGAGTGTAAATTAGGTTTCATACTAAAGAAATTCTTATTATTACGTAAATTACTTATAATTAAGTAGTTCTGATGGGTTTTGTGATTTTCATCATGAGGTTCACTTTATCAAGTGACGCTTTCTAAGAGCAAATACACAAGTTACTATCAAAAATATTTAAATCGCTACTTATAACTTTGCGATATATGCGTGTTGAGTCCCTTCAATTTGTCGAGGATCCCACCTTCAGATCCTGATTAATGAGATCAATGTAAATGAAAGTAAGAGCAATGGAACCAACCAGAAACTATACCCATTTAAGCAATAAATAATTATCTATATAGAACCTGCTTTTTTGTTTGAGTAAGGTTAAACAGCCACCATTGCTGTTGTTTAGTTTTTTCGACAGCAATATGCTTATATGTCTTATAAGACCAAATACTTAGTTTCAAAACATCTTTCCTCTCTTATTTCATGCCGTCTTAAATGTCTTATAAATAACAACCCTTTTGCGAAGATAATAAATACTTAACAAAACTCTTTGGGAGAGCCGCAAATGTCGACTATCACTTGATACCATCAAGTGGGTGAATACTATTATGTTACGCTTTAATAGCAGCTGTAACATAAAATTGCACCGCAGACTGGCAGGTTTATCTTACAAATTGCTAGACACAGAAATTTGATGATAATTGAAGAGTTTTGTGTGACAAAAGACCCATTTCAAAAGATAAATAATTTAATCTAAAGCTCAAGTATTGCGGGTATGCGTAAAATGTAACCTTCAATAAAAGGTTACGGCTTAATCTCGGTTTATTACCGCAATAAATTTGACATCGTTGCATTGGTTTTATTATATACTTTGATGTCTTTGATATTAAACATTTTGGGCCGGATATTAATTCAATGTAGAACTTAACAAGCGAAATCATAGCCTTTCTTTAACCTAAATGATAAGAGCAGAACGTCGGATTTCAAAGTGAGTGATTCACATCAACATCTTCACTTCGACGACGCATTGTATTTTTTTCCATTCTACTACATCATTCATAAATTCATTACTTATAGGTATATTACTTTATTAAAAACACTACAAAAACTAAAATCGACTACACAATGAACTTGAAGAACAGATAAAAAATAATAATTTTGCCGCTATTTATGAATCTAAAAACTCAAACACTGTCCTTGAATTATTAGTAAATTCATTAACCAGACTCCTAAAAATTTGTACCAAATGCTTTAATGTACCCCATCGTCTAAGAATAATTAAACCCTGGAAAACTCCAGATCCATCAGGCATCCTCAGATGCATGAGAAATAGAGATCGGATGTTTATAAAATGTCCTTGATAATGATACCCTCCAAACCACCTTCAAAAGGTATCGCAATTTTTGTAACGCCATTCTTAAATGATTAAAAAGGCAATACGAGAAAGAAGAACTAAATAAGGCTCAGTCTAACCCCAAAAAAATGTGGAAGGTTATAAGAGAAGTAACTCTGACAAAACTAATTCTTCTTCTACTTCTCTATTAAAGATTCTTGATTCTATTGACGAATTTATTAATGAGGTTAATAGATTTTTTAATAATGTTGGGAACTGCTGCTGCTGAAATGCTGACAAAATTACATCAACAGTACGCAGCCCCTGTGTGGAATTACAGGAAACACCTCTAAATTCCTTTGTCTTTCTTGAGACCGACGAGATGGAAGTTGAGCGTACTCTCCGTTCAGATTGTGCGGTTGACATTGATGGCATATCCTCCAATCTACTCAGACAGTATAGAGATATCTTGGTACCGACACTAACTTATATATTCAACCTTTGTATTAAAAAAGTAATTTTCCCAGATCTACAAAAGAGGGTTCTTATTTATCCCATATTTAAATCTGGGGATCCTGAATGTGTCAATAAATATAGACTCATATATTTCTTACCTTCTTTATCTAAGGTGTTAGAGAAAATTATGAACAATCGTTTAAACAAATACCTAGAAGCTTATAATATACTTTCTAGTAAACCATATGGATTTAGGAAAAATACCTCTACTAATGATGCAGTTCATGATCTGACCGACCACATTGTAAGGGCACTGGACAGTAGCAAAAAATGCTTGGCAATATTCCTTGATTTGGCCACGGGCTTTTGACACGGGCTCCATCCCCAAGCTAGTCCTTAAACTGGAGGCGATTAGAGTCAGGGATAACCAGTTACAGCTATTTCAGAGTTACCTAGCCAGTCGCACTCAATGTGTGAAAATTGGTGAGTACGTTAGCAGTCATCTACCTGTCAAGTTTGGAGTTCTTCAAGGTAGCATACTTAGTCCGATACTCTTTTTAGTGTATATAAACGGACTTTGGAGTCTAGATCTAGTAGATGGTAAATTGTTGGCTTTCGCAGATGACACAGCTCTTGTTTTTACAGGACACTCTTGGGATTAATGAACAGAGTGACTAAATGGTTATCCGATAATACTCTGTCAATGTCGATAAGACTAAATATTTACTGTTTAACATCAAAATCCCGAAACACTTCGATGATACGAACTTTTATATTGCAGCCCAAAACCACGCAGAAAATACCCAACTCATGTGTAACTCGCCCGACCTAGAAAGAGTGGATACTATTAAATATCTGGGCGTTATTCTAGATACATGATTAAGTTTCGCACCGCACATAGAATTTTTAACAGGGAGAATTAGGAAACTAATGTATATTTTCAAGCACCTCAGGCACGTCGCAGATCTCAAAGTTTTAAAAACAGTGTACTTTTCCCTGTGCCATTCAATGATAAGTTACTGTATTTCTACCTGGGGTGGCGCCTGTAAAAGTAATCTGATACAATTAGAACGAGTACAAAGAGTTCTCCTAAGGGTTTGCACTTTTAAACCGTTCCGCTTTCCTACCAAAGAACTATATGACCTATAACTATATGACACCGAAGTCTTAACAGTGCGACAACTGTTCATTCTCCAAGTTGTTCTAAGGCAACATACTTTGACGACTGACTTCGAGTATTCTTCTATAACATCCCGAAGACAACTTTCACGTAGGTTTAGACACGCTCTTCCATACACACGCACGCTCTTCCATACACACGCACACTCACTGTCAATAGCAAAAGCCTCCTTGAACACTGATTCTCATAACTTTAAGGTTCACTTTAATTATTATTTCATTTCATTTCAATAACTAACCAATTAGTTTTAATCGTATTTTTATTCAACGGTGTAGCCACAGAATTTGTTTCTAATGTTCTGTGGTAAAATTGTGTCTGTGCTTCCACACATCGTATTACTAAACTGTGCCATAAAAGAGTTGCTGTTACTTATAGCATAGGGTTTCGTATCAGCAGGTTTAAGTATCAGCAGTTCATTATTTGTGATTACTGTAATATAAAAACCATGAAATTATGTTTGTAAACTTTAATTGTGAACAATAAATACATTTTTATCTTTATTTCATTCTTTATACATATAAATTACATTTTAAATATATTTATATACAAAAACAAAAAAAATACATTTAAAAATATAAAAAATAGTATCCCATCGGTATCGGGTACAGAGACCAAGATATCGGTGGTTAGGACTCCAGAGACAGAAACTTCCTCACAATACGTGCCGTATCGCGAAGAACTGCTTTCTGCAGCAGACCCTTAATCCAACTGCCTAACGCGAGCCTCTGAAGATGTTGGTCTAGGCTCTTAGCATTATTATTATTTTTTATTATTCTTTTTCCCGCAGTACACGCACTCACAAAAGTAGATGATAACCAAAGAAAAGGTAGATGAGTTACATTTTCTTTGGTAGTCCTCTACTTTTATATTCGTCAATTTCCACACTTATAATCCTCTTTTCCACTTATCTCTCTGCATTATATATTCACACCATAAAAATCAAATGTCGCTTTACAGGCGCCTTGAATTTACACACTGTTCCTATTACTTACCGATTTTCTCTAAGACAATTAATACATTTTAGGAAATGTCTACTTTTGCAAATAGTAACATTTCCAAACTATTACATACTAAATCGATTCACATACCTAAGCTTTAAGTTTGAAACCGATGTCAACAACTTTATTGTTAGGGTATATGCATGCATGGGTCTAATCAAATTCTTTCCCTAGGTAGAAGTAAACTACAAAGTGCTCAAGAGTCGGTTGGCATTCATTCCGAAAAAACTCCAGCGCATGCATTTTGGACAAGTCGTAGCATTAAGAACACATCCCCAGAAACCATTTATATTCATAAGCGGATCTTGGGACAAGACGTTCAGAGTGAGTATAAATAATTTCTTCACAGTTTCAGTATAAAGTTATAGTTAATGGATGCACTACCTAGTGGCATTAAGGGTCTTAAAAATATTTTAATATATATATACATATAATACGGCGGGCATTATGGCGGCCTCTAGCAGATTTAAAAATTATCGTATATATCCGAATAACTTAAGGTAAAATATAATTATGTACTTTCTACATAGCCAAATTGTGTGTGGCTGTAAAGTTTTGTCTTTGTCCAGATTTAACATTATCCGACGTAGTGGCACGACACATAGTTGAAAAAGTTCATTGTACCTGCGGCAAAACAAAAAAACAACTTTACGAAATATGAGTGTACAATGTAACCGCAGTATATTTGAGTTTTGTTGCAGTAGGGACATAGCAGTCCCTACTGAAGGTAAAAAGGGACTCAAAAAAAGGATGCGAGAAAATAGAGTTTGTTGTAGTTTTGTGGTTGTCAGACTTTCTGAACAGAAATGAATTGTTTGGATGCTTTGCTTGAGCTATGGTATATTATTTTGGTTTATTTAGTATTAATTCTATTGGTAGGGTATTTTAAAACAAACATATTTTACTATAAGGATAGTTACTATAGTGATTCTCATAAATAAGTATCCTTATGTATGTCACGTGTCATTGATATTCTGGATTTTTATAGTAAATCATCAAATAAATATATCAGTATCATGGTTGAAAAACAATAAAAAGTGTTGCAAATAGTAATAACAGAATTGTTTAAAACCAGTTCACATTTTCTGATTATGTAATGTATTTTTCATGAAAATATTAATTTGGAACCTTCTGTTTTGTATAATCTTTGATGTTATGTATAAGTTAGCAACATCCATAATTTCATCCATAGTTTAATCTTAATGCTCTTGATCGCTAGTCTTATAAATCAGGTTAAAATACTGCCAAGTGGAAAGCGTCTCATTAAGTAACACACAACATGACATAGATATATTCCTATATATAGGACATATTCCTAATTCCTAATTCTAAATGCGTTGTCTTTAAAAAATGAATTTTAGCTTAAGCATGAATGATAAAATCTTCTTTTTATGCATATTGTTAATTACAAACAAAAGTAATGACATCATGCCTCCTACCATGCCGAACCTACGCATGTCAAACTGGAAGTGTACATCCAAAATGATACACACAATTATTATCTGCCAACGCGGAATGGAACAAAGCCTGTATAATATAAAAAAAACAATCATCACACAAAAATGTAACATTCTTTAATTGCACTGTAACATTCTTTAATTCCATTGTAACATTCTTTAATTCAATCTCATCCTTACCTGTCCCAAATATACACCTGCCACACACAGCTTTGCAACACCCAAAGGTTTAACTGGAAGAAAATTCCTGTGGCATTAAGTCCGCCTTATGAAATATGTTTGCAGGAAGTCTCAATAAATAAGAAACAAAACCACCTACCACCACGACTCAACCAAACCAATTGACTAAAATAGAGATAGAGAGTAATAGTCGCTCAACTTATACAATATACTTGCTTGGAGCACACTTTTATAAGGCTGTTACTTGCTCGTTTGCAATGTCGTGTCAACCAATTAGCTAATAGGTTTTAGTATTTCTTCTCTATAATATACGGATATGTTGACAGTCAGTTTGTGGAGCGAGTAGCTTGCTCTTGTAAACAACTCTTGAATAAAACATTTCGGACAACGACCGCAGCACAGACTAAAAGCACCTCTGACGAAATTAAAATATTTTTCTTAGCGGTTAACTGCTCAAATTACTTATTAAGCACTTCTTTCAAATGACTGTACAAGGCATTATGTTCTTTGTTTGTTGCTCGTTATGAAATAAAATTCATTTTTAATGTATGAACATCGCTTGCACTTTGATGTGCTAAAGAATGGATAAATGAATTTGGTGTACTAGAGGTTTTTCATTTGGAATAGTTAGCTTGAAAATGAAACCCGCATAGCATCAGTTTTATTAAAAAATGTTGTTTACAAGAGATAAACTCAGTTCGTTTACTTTGCGGGACTGAGACTGAGGATTTAGTATATTTGATCTATGAAAATATATTGTTGCTTGATGGATCCCGGATACGGACAGGGATTAACTCGAGCGTTTAATAAGTTTCCTTACCAAGTGATAGGACTAAATTTTGTGTATTTTTAACTAATTAAAGAACGAAAACATAACTGGTGTTATTATACTTTAAGTGTTTTATCTATGTGTAAGTTAAAATAGTTAAGTCGACCTGAAAGGATCAAATATGTCAAAAAAAATTGAATAAAGTATTATGGATGTGAAAATTTACGAAAGAAGTATTACTTTATTGGGCCATTTATAAGTTCCGTTTACAAAATTGCGTAACAATTTTTATAAGAAAAATTTCAGTAAAATACGTTGCGTAAAATAATATAAAGTATGACTACTCTATAACACGTTTCAGAGTACACGCATATTTCTATAGTAAAATACTTAACAATACAAATATGTTATCCTCATAAAAGATCACCTTGAATTTGATGATCTTAGTAAATTTATTTCATTCACTATTTTCAACAAGTACTTTCGCAACAAATAACATAAATTATACTAGCATTGCCAAAATACGTAACAAATAAAAAAATCGTTTACATTCAAAATTCAAACTTCAATTCATTTCATTCAAACTTGTCCTGTCTGACTGATTCATATACGTAGAGCCTACACCTACTACACCGCTGGGGTTCAAACTTGACATTTTGGCAGCTGATGTTGTTAATGTTGTAAACACCCACTAAGAAAAGATTTTTCAAAATTTCACCCCTAAGGGCATAAAAAAAGGGATAAACGATTGCATGAGAGTAGTCATTTTCAAAGTTAGAATAAAACTTACCTACTGAGTAAGGTAAAGCAATATAAATTATAAGGAAGGTGGTAAAGTTAATCATAATAAAAAGTAAAGATAATAATAAATAATAATATAATATTCTGAAACATTCACACAATGCCATCTAGTCCCAAACTAAGCAGAGCTTGTACTATGGCTATTAGACAACTGATATAAATACATATATAGTTTCTTTTGTAAATACATACTTATAATACATAGAAACACCCAGACCAAATCAAACATTAAATGTTCATGCACACAAATGTTTAACTTGAGCGGGAATCGAACCCGCGACCTTTGGAATAGCAGTCCGTTACATAAACCACTACGCCATTCGGTCGTCAACCACTTATCATTAAGTGAAATAATTTGCGACGATTTTAATACGCTGCTGTCTTCTGAGCTGATGTCAATTTCTGTAAACTGCCATTAGCAAGGCTACAGAACATTATTTTATTTAAACCCTACTTATTTCTTCATAAAAATAGACACACAATTGTTATAAAAAGAATACAGCGGCTTTAACTTTCAAAACAAGTTATAAGTTGAAGTTAGAACTCATAAAAGTCGAATAAGAAAATGGTAATGAGGATGAAAAGGAACTTTAGGAGTGCGTTAACGGCTGTTAGAGGGAAAATTCTGCCCATAGTTTTCTCATCATAATATATAACTAGTTAGAAAATGTTCAATGGTATTTTAAAAATGTATAGAACACCTTTTGTTCTCGGGTTCACTCATGTTAATGTAGATCTTCAGTCTTTTTACTCTGTATCTGTATAAAAGATATATCCTTTTCTACAGTCCTGGCTGAAAGTGTGGATAAAATGTAAAAGCGTAAAAAAATATATTGATTACATGGATTTCTATTTTATAAAAAGGTCAGGTCAAGATGTGTATTTGTTATCTAATAAAAACATAACACTGGCACATACTTAAAAAAGAACCTGTATAGGGAAAACAAATGAACGTCGTTTAATAAAATGAATTATATAAAATATCTTCTTATACTACGACTATATTAAATTCGATGTATAAAAATGAATTGCTGTTCGCGTTAGTCTTATTCAAACTCGAGAAAATATTTGTGGAAATCGAGAGAAAGTTTAGACGGTGAGAAAACATTGAAAAAAATGAGGCCTTTGAGGAGGGGCACAATATTCAGATTATCTCATATTTCGATTTAAAAAGTGCAAATAGGTCACTGTCACATGTCACTATGACAAAGGATCGACATATTTTTGTTGGTTGCCTAAGGCCGGGACTCCACCAAATTGGAGACGAGATGAGCGGAGCGGAGCTGTGTCCTTAAACCAATAGAATTTAGTTTTTCACATATTAGATCTCCACTCAGCTCGGATCGCTTTAAACTGTGTGTTACATCCAACGCTTGCCTCACACTGCTCAGTTCCGATCTAGCCTGCGCACATCTCTAGCCTGCACACATTTCCGCTCTAATCTAGCCAGTACGCAGTTCCGCACAGCTTCGTTGGATAAACCCTAGCTGAAAAACATCTCTTCTCATCTCCTCTTTGGACATCTCCGCTTTGGCGGGGTCCGGGCCTTACATTTATGAATACATTCAGAAATCAATTTCCCGAGGTGGTCCGTTTTTATCCCGAGGATAAAAATGGCCAAGTAGGTAACATTAAAAAAATTTCGCGTCATAACATAGACTTTGTGTTCACGTGTACTTTTTATAAAAGTACACGTACTTTACTTTTTTATCCATGTACGAGACTAACGTGATTGTTAATATCTACATTAGAGAGAGATCAGAATTCAATTTTAAAATACTTATACTTAAATAAACGTCAATTCACCTCTAGCCACGAAAGCAAATAGAAATAAAAAATATAGAACCGTATTACATTATCCTTCCTTTTCCACGTTTTTCCATTGTCCCCATTTTTGCCTTTATCGCAATTCCATTGGTTATTTAATATAAAAGAAATCTTTTCTAACCTCTTTATGTGTACCTTTGGAAACTTTCAGGTTTGGGACGTGAGGTGCAAAGTAGGGTGTGTTATGACTTTTGAAGGCGTTGATATTTGCCACGATAGCATTGACTTGATCGTGAGTACCTTTATAATTTCCATTATTCAAATAACACAAACGTAAACCAATCAGCTTTTGAACCTGCTGTAAAATTATTATTTTTGAATTTGATGATTTTTAGGAACATCACCATAATGCTCGTTTATATACGTAACTGTTTATTAGAGTAAAGTAGAAAATGCAACGACTGTTTATTTTTCTATAGACAATGGTACAAGAAAAACAATAAGAAAGTTCCATTCACTCGTTAGAATAGTAGAAGAATCTATTAACTTATTTATCGGTGACGGTTTAAAGGATTTGTACGTCCTCTCTGCTTACATTTCTAGTTTTTTTTCTTAATGCATGTCAGTGGTTTGAACTGGGCAAGCTCAGGCCGTGAATCCCACCGATGACGTAGACCCTGGACCCGGAGTTTGTGTTAAGAGTTTTCGATACCACGATTTCTTATACACGTTGATATTGAATGCCATCAGTTACGACACTCGATTTCTTGATAATGTAATTGCTTTCTCAGCTTTAAGTGGCCTTGAAGGTTACATAATAGTTAGTTATATCATTAGCTACAAATTGAGCTGCTTATAGTCTTGGTTACGGGCTTTATGTATTAATGTGTTCATTAATTTACGTGTAACATAGTAATGTGTAACATGTGTAACATAGTAATTCGTCAATGTCGACATAATTTAATTTTGCGCCTACAATCTTCGCACATATTTCGACCAAAACATAACACAATACCCTCTCATAATAAATTATTCTTTTTTTCATTCTGTTGTGACCCACAAACATTAAATACCCTCTGAATTATAATTTTCATTCCCTTTTTTACTACTTAGCAGACAATTAGACGGCGCGCCTGTTTACATAATATGTTATATTTATTTTATTTACTTAATTTATTTATGTTACATTACGAGTAAATTATCTCTACAAATAATATCAAATTCAGGTCTAAAACAATAAAATAACAACGAAAAAGTCATGTTTACGTGGGTACGTTACTTCTGCTAATATTACAAAATAAACAATATTATATTGTCAACATTTCTAGATATTGTACCGTTGATACAAAATAAAAAATTCGTAAGCGAAATATGTTAGCTCTTAGGTACGTGATACACAGAAAGTTGCACCGTTTTACAAATTAAAAATATATCGGTCTTTACAATAATAACATTCTTCAAAGGCAAAGAAGAACTATAGACAAACATCTAACTTTCTAACAAGGTACGAGTTCGACTAAACTCTAGATGAAACACCGCGAACTTCTAGCACGAAAGCGGCAAGTTTTTAATTAAAAAGTGACTCGTATTGCGGACCAAAGTGAGATAATTTAGAACTTTGGTACTATTTATAGTATTAAACTGTTGACGCGTTCAACGGTTTTGTTGATATAGTTAAAGTCGAGTTTAATATAACTAAACTTGATAATTATATTTCTTAAGTTCAAAAACTTGGAAAGGGAATTGTTCAAGCGGCTATGGAACTTAGTATCGCTACAAAGATCTTTGTGGCAAGATAAAAAACACTGTTACACAGTATTAATGTTTTTTAGTATTAATGGATATATTATATACTCTCCGTATTTCGTGGGAAATCGTTGGTGAAAAATTCGGCGGTTCAAAAGTCAAGAAACATGTTTTCGATTATAAATGTTTAGCTAGCGACTTATAAATAACGTAAAATATTAATATTAACTGGTTTCACTTACGGTTATTGAAACCTCTACAAATGGGAGCGATACGAATCGGGTACCTGGCGGGCTGGAGGATTCTTCGTGTATCATTTGTGTGTGGGTCAATAACATTAACAGAAATCAGCAAAACATTCCTTAATGATAGAAAGAAGTGTATAATGTGAAAAAGTTTCACATTATGTTAAGTCCTAAGTACTGTCCAAGCAGGCCTTAAAATTATATAATATAATAAAAATATACCTCACACATCTCACACATGACCGTCTGATCCCAAACCAGGCAGAGCCTGTGCTATGGTAACTAGACTTCTGATAAACATACTTATATATTTTTAAGTACATACATATTATAGATAAATTACACCCAGACACAGAACAAATGACAGTGCTCATAATATTTGTCCTGGGTGGGGATCAAACTCACGACCTCCGGCTTAGCAGTCAGAGTCACTAACCACTATACCAACAGGTCCTATACAATACATAATGCCAACAAACAAACTCCAGGGTTATCCATAATTATTCTAGGTTTTCATATGAGTATTGTTCTAAAATATCATTTAAAAAAAGAGGCTGACTGGCTGACTTATCAAAATACTAGTATTGGCTACAAATGTAATAGTATGGAATATAAAGTAGTAAGTACATACCAAATGTAAAGATATTCCAGAGAGAAGTATATACGTTTCTTCACTATTCAAAGGTACTTTTTTTGTGCGTGTACGCAGTATAGATGTACCACATGTAAAACATACACTTGTGCGAGCATGCATCAGCTATACCTGACTAGCTTGAAGAACGGCTTGGAGAGATGCTAACACTCAATACAAAGTGTGTTATCGTGTAGAATCTGGAAAAAAACAAATTTTTGGCATAATTACTAAAAACAAAAGCTATGTTGGGTCTTCTATTTATCGAAAATAATTGAACTACGATGATCCAAACATTTTCAAAAACCTGCCAGGATTGGTGAGATTGAAGTTCAGAGTATTATATATCTCATTATTTATATCTTAAAAAAACTGACAAAGTTGATGCCGCAATCGAAGTGTACAGCAAACACATCCACGAACATATGTTTGTATTTCACGGGAAAAGAAGCACTTTTTAAAGTAAAATAGGTACAGATTAAGGTATTTACTTTAGTATAAAGGTTACAAGCAACAACAACGGTGTCATATCAACTGTCAAATTATACAATTGACAAACTTCTTTATTTTTATGTACAATTGTCTTTATGATGTCCGTACATATCACCAATCTAGATGAAGGTACTTTGAAAATATACTATTCGTTAATATTCTCATGAAGTTTTATAAATCAACAAATTATTTTCTTGTAACTTCAACTGGCATGTCCTTATTCTATGTAATTGATTAAATATTTAGCATTTTGCAACATGACTTTTTAAATTTCAGTTTAAAACGATCTACACGCCAATGTGTATGACCGTTGTGAGGAGTCTTAAAATTTGTGCTAGAACATTTAGACGTCTGGTTTCGAAAGTCGGTATACTGATTGAATAGCTCTTGTTTCATTCAACAGTAGACTCGGATTGAAATTTCTACCTAGCACGTCTTTATTACACTGATGCTTAGAGCATCAATTGAACTGTTGAGATAGGAATTCGAAGCTGAAGGTGAAGATTTCAACAAATGATAGCTAAGCTAAATTCTATGATTACTTGCTTAAGTATGCTGATTTGGTTATGCTGGTCTTGGTTGTAGATCGGCACAGGCATATAATAGATTTTCGATAGATATATGTCATTTTATTTTCTTTATTTGCTAAATATTTGACAAACCAGAGATTGTTGCTACTGTGTGTGTATGACTTTAGAGTCTACATAAAAGAAGATTCCAAACTTTTTTTTCATGAAATAAAAATATTTTGAGTTTGAGTTTAGCATTAATGATTATAAATATCTCAATACATTCAATAACAGTTTTAGTTAGTTACTAACATTGACCCTGTTATTGAATATACTGAGATATTATTGCAATGTATCAGAAAAGCTTTCATTTTTATGGGTCTCAAAGAGATACTATGTAAAAAATGTATATTGGGTTCACTTCCTGTCCATTGGAAGTTGTAACTATGGAAGTTGAACTAGGCAGAAAAGAGCTAGACAATGAAGTCAGCTTTATACTTTTTATGAATGAATGATTAAGCGGTACCAATACGGTTTGGTTTTCCGGTCTGTCAGTCTCTTCAGGCTAACCTCCAGTACAGTTGTTTCCTGCCACTTTGACCAGGCCAATGCTATCTTAAACAGTAGAGCTCCAACCTCAGCGAAGCAAAACAAAAGCTGAACAAAATGTAATAGTAAAGTACACTTCACCAGAACATTCTCCGAACCCAAACATTAATAATATTAGACGAGATGAGCATTAGAGGCCGTAGATTAATTGACCTCATAAATTCATCACTTTAATAAGTCCCTTGGAAAACAAAGGAGATAACAAAGCACTAAAATGTCCCCTTGACACTGTTAACGTATTTATTGTGTTAGTAGTAAGAAGTTGGCCGCACAACACATGGTATTTTATCTATTTTTCCTCTTAAGCCAAGAGAAAATGGGAGGCTTTTCCTACATTTTTAACCTTAAGTGACTATACCGATTTTCCTACTATCTTGATTTAATGTTATAAACATTATAATATACTTAAGGAATTATTCCTAAATTAATAACGAATGTCAATGATTACTTATTAGAATTAGAAAACCTAAAATTTTAGTTATGAAAATCGTGCTGGGTCACAATGACTGATGATAAATCTTACTCAATTACATTGACTTGCAGAGAGAACAATGTATAACTGGAAGCTGGCAAACAACAGAAGCATTAGCCGTGTGGGACCTAACTGCTAAGAAAAAGCTGAACGTCATAAGAGTCCAAAACCGAAGACCTGATGTGGACGGGGAATACATTTATGCCTGTCGCTATTGGCACTCTACTGATGTAAGTTATACTCACTCTTATATTTGGGTTTTAACTAAAGTAAGTATAAATCAAACCTCACAATAACGCTTATAAAAGAGATTGAACAAGTTAATAAAATTACGTCCTTGATGAACGAAAGCCTGTTGCAAAAATCTGGTTCTCATTATTACACTAACTTTCACCGCATGTAGATGTGGTAGCTGGTGGGTTAACAATGCGGCATCTTAAAATGAACAGGGGTTCATTCCGTAGGTATCGTAAAAGTCAACTAAGGGAGCAAACTACGCGGGACAACAGCACGGCAAAAAGAAGGAAATCTTGATACAACCCTTTTTGTTTTTATTTTTTTTTAACGTGTGGAAATCCCCTCGGACCCCATCCCCACCCCGGATCCCCACCGGGGTTTGCGGCGGGGTGGTGTGTCGGACTCGGACCGACTAAAACCACACGGTGTGCCACTCAGCGCCTGTAATAGGAGGGATCCGGGAACAGCTGTTATCTTGATACAACCCTATACCAACCCGTCTGTCCAGCGTAGCACAGTAGACCAAAACCTTTTTCTAAGGAGAGGCCTGTGTCCAGCAGTGGACTATTACAGTCTGTCGATGTGTAATAAGTAGATTTATGAAGCAAAGAATGCATGGCGCAAATTAATACGAGCAGAAATCATTAGATTAGTCAAGCGGTCGCGACGACATGCAATATCAATAACTCGCATCGCGTAGTCTTATATCAGTTGAAGCAGGTCTGTGCATCCTATGATAAGTGATATAAGTAAAAAATGTATACTCTACAGAAACACAAAAACAAGATTTTAAAAAGTCTAGTTCGCTATCTAAGTGGGCTAGGTAAAATTTAGTACCTTGTTTTGTAGATAAAATATTCATTTTAATTATATTCAATTATACATTAATTACATTTTATTTTACACTTTAATTATACATAATTTTATGTGATATATTTAAAGTTTTAAAGTAATTCTTGAAAAACTTGTAAGTTATTCTTACTAACCTGTTAGTCTATTCTATTTCTAATACAGGCTAAAATTACGTGATAAATGATACAAGTCCAGTTAAATTATGTTGCGCCTATAAATTGTCTTTGTTAACAATTTGCTAGATCCACTCTTTATTGATTAATATTCCTGTAACATAGAAATATAATTTCTTGAGCCTTTAAGTGGCCTCTTCTTCCTTCCGTGAAAATCCATTAAATCGCGTTCTTTGTTTAAGAAGTGGGTATCAAGACAGCTATTGTACTTTGCTCCCAACAAAGTAGCTTTACTTTGAATTGAAAGGGTTTATGTATATTCACATGCATTATATAGTACTCTCAGAGGTAATGCTCTACTCTAGGTCAAACCGGTGGCGTTCGTCAACATGTTCTTGTCCTTGAACCGGCTACGGTATTAAAAGAACTAGGGATCCCGCACTTAGGCTAGACATTGTGCTGGAATGTTTTTAATAATATACATACTGCACGGATGGCGTAGTGGTTTAGTGTCATCACACAACTTCATACTGCGCTGAGTGTTGTGGGTTCAATCCCAACATAGAACACCACTTTGTGTAATCCACAAAATGTTGTTGTCTTGGTGCTCTTTGTGTCCGTTTCATGTATGTTTGCGAAGTTCTCCGCGACACAGGATATTTATTACTAGATGTTAGAACTCCCTTCTTTAAAAAATATATTAATAATATAATATATATTTGTACAAGTATTTTGGGTCGCCATAAAAATAATAGGACTGTTTGAATAAATAAATAAATCGTCTATTCTGATTTTGACAGTTACGTACGTATATCTAATTTATTAATACGTGACATTTGATAACCCATAAGAAGTTACTGTTGGCTACTTGCTACTTTTTCAGTGTAGTAATGTAGAAAGACAAATCTATCATTCAATCCTCTGCGATACTTTTATTGAATTTATCTGCTACGTCTGTTATGCATATCATAGCTCAAAGTTATAACATCAGTGAGCATTATTGTCGTTAGTTTTAAATTCTCATTGTGCAAGAAATTCCTTGGAGATTTATCGCAATTCATTCTATTATTTTATTGCTTTTGGTATACTGGCAAGTTTTAGATAGAAATGTTAGCATCACCTAACTTGCAACGTAATAATTGCTTAACTGGTGATGTGTGAGTTGGTGGTGAGTGAATTTACCAGAGCTCAAATATATTTAAATTTTAAATAAAAGACTTCAGAAGTAGAAAGATTTACTAACACAGGAACATACTTTGCTTTTATCTTTAGTAGCACTCTGAAATTGAAAATAATTCATAGTTAATACCAACGTTCAAAATCGGACGAATCTGTATTTTAGTCATTAATCTGTATATACTCGTAGTTCCTGTATTACATAGTTATAATAATACATCTGCATTATTTAAATTACATTGAGCCCATAAACTCAAATTAATTTTCAGTTTAGGAAATATATATTTTGATGATGGGTTTATTTTTGATCGAGAGACAAATAAAATAGTTAAAAGGACAGTTTTAAGAACAGAACCACGTACGCGTAGTATAATAAATAACCTCATACATTAACATTTAACATGCCATCATAAGTATAATATACGAAAACATAGCTTGTCTCACAAAATACGTATTTACATTAGAAATACAATTACCTCAGAATAAACCCTCACTGGCACTAGTATTTGCGGTTGTCAGAGACAGTTGCCATGCACGACATGTCGTTCTTAACTCGATCTACGTAAGAATCATCTTTACAATAAACTTTATCCACAATGAGAGGTAAAGTAGCATAATATTTTACTAATTTGTTGTGTAATAGGTTTTTTTCATGATTGTTATTTTGTTTTGTCAGCAAGGAAAATTATTTTAGCCGTGAGCGTTTTCGTTTTAATAAAATTGTTTTTGTTAAGTGAATTATATTATCTGAAGCATCAATTTTTTAATCTAATCTTAAAACGTTGGTAGGATTAATTAACTTAAAAAAAAAGTAGATAACAGCGTATTACCGCGGAGACTCTGAAATGCACCTGGAAGAACTTTGCAGAAGACAGAATAAATATTTTCAAATAAATAAAAAAAATCCTTTTCTAGAGAAGATAATAGTAAATTACCAAGTTCGTAACTAACAGGCGGGTCGCAAGCTTATTTAACTGGTATATTAGGTGTCCTCGAAATCAGTTACTTTTTCACATTCACGCTATAAATACTTCTGTACGTTACTTTTGTTGATGTGGACGTGCCACATCAACAAAATATAGAAAAAACAAAAATGCATTACATTACATATTTTACAAATTTAAATTATATAAATAATATCAATTTCTTTTGCACTCAATTAATATAGGAATTGGATGATAACTTCAACAAAATAACAACTTGCTTAAAAAACATATTTTACATAAGCGAAGTCAAGGGTATCAGCTACTTATATAATATTGTTTGAATGTTATTAAATTGAACATGTGTGTGTGTTCTAAGTCTAATCATCTTCTATAATTATTTTCAGTAAAACAATCTAGTGAGATAAGATATTTTGGTTTTCAATTTTGTAAAGGCTATCAATAAAAAGTTCAACAAAAACATATTGTTATTATTATTATTAGTAACACCAAAAAAACGATTTACAGGAAAACATAAAGATTTTTTTATGAATACCTGAATATAATTCACAGATCAAATTACTATATGAAACTATCCACATTGGCCTTTATAAAATCTACCGAATATTATTTTGCCCATTTTACTTATTTTTACTTGGAAATAAAGATATTTTCTTAAACATCTGTTAGGGCGTAGATAGATAAATATTAGAAGTACTAAATCAGTGAACAGCCCATTAGACACTTCTAAGGGTTTCTAAAAGTATATTTTTAGAGCTGAGTTTTATACTAACTACTGTGTCAGTAGGCGTCACAATTGAATGTATTTAAGTAGACTCCAAATTACTATTTTTATTATTACTACATTTATTTTGTGATATAGATTATTTAGTGTTAGTTTTGAAGTAAACAGTTTTTCTTTTTAATATAGATTTCATGATTTGTGCATAACTACAGTCATAACTATCTGAGTTTTCTTAGGAAATCGTCTTATGGTATTTCGACCATGGGCGAACTCTAGTATTAACCAATATAGGAACAAAATTACTTTCACGAAGTCATGAGGATTATACATTATATTTTTTTACTTACGACTAAATATCAACAACTATGTTCTTAAATCAGAAGTAAGCGGTATGCGATCACAGAGCTCAACAATTAAAAAAGAAATACTCACCGGGCCATGTATTTTCCAGAACAGTGTAGTGTATCAGAGTTCTTTTATAACTATTCTTCTGTTACAACTATAGTAATAACGAATATATATTAATTTTCAGTACAATCGCAAAGGCAAGTACGCCATCATCGGAGGGAGTGGTACGAAGTGTGTGGAAGTAATTAATCTCCATAATAGGTACATAAGCTGTTCTTACCCAACAATAGGCTCCGTCCTCGCTATCGCAAGCCACCAGGAGCGGATTGCCTTTGGAGGAACCTATCCCGCTTTCTGTATCGTCTCGTTCCATGATCCTAAGCATGAGAAGGCCCTATATGAACCAGATGTCACACCTGACTACGATTATACGAAGCCGCCGCCCGTTGATACCGCTTTAGACACGGACACTTCAACCGAAGTGCACTTCTCCGACTATGATTCTACAACTGGAACTAAGTCTGGCACACCTCTGACAAATAACTCAACCGTTCAACAAAACTAGAATGAAAGACTTTTACTTTACCTCCAGGGAAGTAAAATTAACAATTTTAATTCATCTTGCCTCTTAATTAATTTTTATTAATAGTCTGTTTATTTAATACACGAATTTTATTAAATGATACATACGTATATCATTAAACATCTAACAGAACTAAAAGCTTTCAACCTTGGTACAATATGACAATGTAAATGATGATGATGACTATTATGACATTAGCACGCGAACTGCCCATCACTGAAATGTGCCATTCGTTTCAATTTTGCTAAAGACCATTTCATATTAACCCTATCGCCAGTCACCTCAACGAATTTCAGTCATTGCAATAACAATTTGCAAAGCTTGTTTTGACCGAATTGAACCGCTACTGCAATAACGATAAAATCTACCCAAGTACATGTCGACATACAACGTCGACAAATTGAAATTCAGAAAACAATTGCACAAGTTTTTACAGTAGAAAAAACTCTGTAAGACCAACATTGAAAAATTAGAGTCGGCATTGCGAATTCTGTTGAGACTACAATCGCCAACAAGTTGCAATAGAATTTAAATAAAGAAGCGTTCTCTAACACGAGCGCGAACTCGTGTGGGGCGGTGGTGAACTTTCAACTTTACCCGCTTTTGTAGCGGGAACATACCTACGCCTCCCCGCCCCACACCTCGAATGGGTGGAAGGTGCCTTTCCGTACTTGGACCGAACATTTACAGCGCAACCTAAATATAGCGTGCCGCTGCTCAGCTGGCACGGGCGGAGGCGAGTAGGAGGGTAAACATTCCCCCTTCACCCTCCATAGCTTCACCGTGTAGAAGGCCATTCGAGCGCCGGCTTTGGAGGTGAGCGGACATCTTCAGTATAATGCAGAGGTCGCATCGCGACCATGACCGTATAAGACAGGAGGGTTGTCGCTCGATGAAGCAATAAAGTTATTTTCAAGGCCATGGTGTAAATTTGACGTGACACAGTTATATGAAACACATATTTTACACAGATATAATTAGTAAACAATAATTTATGTTACTAATGAAATAAGCACACTTCATAAATTTAACACTATTTATGTTACGAAGGGGATTGCCTCTATTTACGTATATGTGAGTTAAACATTACATATTAATATTACTCTATTGCTATTTTATCTAATAGGTACTAGATAGCTATGACTGTTTAATATTGCATAATATATAGTTCAAACAGCAGCTTCAACATATTACACGTGAATGATTTTTATGTTTCGATTAAGTTAATTAAGTACTCGTAAAACAAGTTTCATAATAAAAATTCAAAGTGATCTTCAGAACTTTAAGCATATTTAATAATCTTTGAAAATTATGTTGCAAAATAAATAACAAACTGTTTTAATTAACTCCAATTTAGCAAATTCACGTTAATTTAATGTGATAAGCGAAATATCTTCCTCGAAACTAATTTGGTACACAAATTGGTCGAGTAAAGTAAGATTTGCTAATCAAATTGAATTTTGCACTAGTCTTTATTTAGCTTAAATATATTATTCAAAGCAATCTGGCAATACAAAACTAGATTACAGTCCGATAAAGCATCTGACAGCTCTTTGTAAAATGTACGCACAAAGTGAATGCTTTCCTTCATTATTTCGGGGAATTTATTTTTAATCACATTATAGAGGAGAGAGAGAGAGAGAGAGAGAGAGAGAGAGAGAGAGAGAGAGAGAGAGAGAGACGTTATATTGTTAATATGTTGTTGGTTTTTAACTTGAAATGTATAAATTACTAAAGCAATCTTTAAGCTACTCTAATGTTCAACATAGGTATATATAATAGCTATTATAATAGCTTTACCAGCACCATCGTTAAAGTTACATTCCCAATCATTGTTCTATGAGAAATATAATAATATTTTATAGAATTTTTTAAGTAACACGTCTTATGGTTAATTTTGTTAATCATTTTAAAATAAAAGTACTTGTACGTATTAATCTAGATAATGCCGAATCATGAAATACCAACTTTTATATCGGCCAGAATTATGAATTCTTTGGATATCCTGATATTAAACTTAGTAATCAACTCACGACTTAATATTACTTTGAAGCGCTCCTATGTAACTACCTTATAATCTTTGAAAACTTTTTTTATTTTCCCAAGGATAATAAAGCTTTAGAACAAAGGCGCTATTGGTAAACGTACCTATGTAGGCTACAATTATAGTAGTAGGATCTCAAGAAATTCTCTCAGACACTTACTTTATCTTATATATAAAATTCTCGTGTCACAATTTTAGTTACTATACTCCTCCGAAACAGCTGGATCGATTTTTATGAAATGTTGTGTGCACATCAGGTAGGTCTAAGAATCGGCCAACATCTATTTTTCATACCCCTAAATGACAAGGGTGACCCACCCCTAATATTTTTTTTCAATATTTCCTAGAAATAATGTATATGGCAAAATAACGTTTGCCGGGACAGCTAGTTATTTTATAAAAATATTAAGTTGGTTTGTGTACGCTTCAAAAACACAAAAAGTTCTGTACTGATTGAGCTCAAATTTTGACATGAAATACATATGGATTTTATCATTTTTTTTTGTAACCACAGTGTGCCGCATCGGAGTGTTAAAAAAGAAAAATACACAATTTCAACATAAATTGATCATCAAAGCATAAAATACATTTCAGATATCCTGTATCACTGCTTACTATGGCTATGACAGCCGTTTCAATAGTATGGGTCAAGAAGCATTCGTTTTCCAGTCACTTGTCATTACTAAGAGACTACTTCATGTCTCGGCCCATATAATCTATTATTGATTTAAATAAAATCTGACGTTTTCACACATTTTAGTAATTTATATATGAATTCAAAAGAATAGTAGTAATTATAATGTCTTTTTTTAATGTTTATATCATGCCAAAAAAACATTGTTATAAAGACTGTGTCAATATGTTTAAAGATAGTGTCAATATTTATTTTGCTGGCAATCCGATCGCTTCTCACAGTTTTTTTTTGAGAAATACATGTTATTTTCTCATACCGCTGATAACGGTTGAGTAGTTCAGGCGTAAAAATGTAACAACCGTACAAACTCATATTCGAGTTTATAATAATACTAGCTGACCGGGCAAACGTTGTTTTGCCATATATATTATTTCTAGGAAATATTTAAAAAAGAATTAGGGGTGGGTCACCCTTGTCATTTAGGGGTATGAAAAATAGATGTTGGCCGATTCTAAGACCTACCCGATGTGCACACAAAATTTCATAAAAATCGGTCTAGCCGTTTCGGAGGAGTATGGTAACTAACATTGTGACACGAGAATTTTTATATATAAGATGTATACGCTCGGAGAGTACGTTAAGCTGTTGGTCCCGGTTGCCATATCCATCCATGCCATATTGGCAATCGTTATAGGTAGGTAGTTGGAGCCCTTACAAGGCCAACAACAGCCTATTTACCGAATTTCACTATCACTTAGTACTCAGGTTAAGGATGAAATGTTTTATAAAATTACTTCAAATTAGTCTATTCTAGTTAGCAACTTGAGTTTTGTTGTAGTTAAATAAGATGTGTTGGGAGCGTGTAGTTAACAGGAACTGTATTAAGTTTGCTTTTATTGAAACGGCTTACAATAAATAAAAATGTTCGAATAATTCGAATTTTAAATATATTTTTTTATTTAATTTATAGCGACTGTAAAACTGAGTTCAATTTTTCATTTCATGCAGAGTATTCTTTTTAAAACTTATTTCACAAATCACTCAAAAATATGTATTGACTTTAAACTTTATACACGTTTTTATTAACATTTTGTTTTGAGCGGCTATAGATTTTATTTACTGTGTATTATTTTGTCCTTAAAAACTATTTTAAGGTTTTGACTTCTAAAATAGTACAAAATCTTCTCTGTTTATTCAATTAGGTTTTTTGTTTTACATGATAAGTAACTTAGTTACTTTAAATCAGTTTTTATTTTAAATCCACTCCCAGTAATTTAAAAATTATACAGTGCATGTTTAAAAGTTTTGTGACTGAACTCAATGTATTTATATAAAATACAAATAACACTTCAGTAAAGATAGACTACATATTTGCTTTAGCAAATTGAGCAAAATGTAATACTTTCATTTAAGAACTATGAGGGAGAAATCACCTACATTGTTGCTAACGAATTCTTAATATTATTATTAGGATTACACTACCAATTCCATGTAATGAAATGAAAAGCTAAAAATAACAATCGGTTATTTATGAATCCCTACAACTTTTCATTGTCAGCCTAATAAAAAAGATTCATTACTACGGCACTGACGAGCTAACCACTTCAACCTCGTTCGCTCAATTTAATCTCGGAGGCGAGTATTTATTACTTACCGTCATACTCCAATTTCATCAAAGAAAATAATTTATAAACGCGGTACCGAAACTCAACACGTTATGACGTCAATAGCGAACGAATTCAGGTTTGCGGAATTAAAAAGCGCTTAGAAGGCAAACTTCGCGTATTTGGATTTTCGGGCGTAGTGGCATAGCTTCGTAGCGGGGCGAGGCTGGCGTAGCGGGACGTAGCGCGGGCGTCGTGGCTGCATCGATCCGCCAGCCGTGACCTTGACCCGCCCGCGTTCCCGGATGTACCAGTACTCGCCTAGTTGCGCTATTGTCGCTTTATTCAGCTTCTGCTAGCTTTTATTAGCCCGGGGAGTATGTCGCTTACCTCATACTTTGCTGTGTTTAATGTAACTTCGTCTAGACTACTTGGTGGATTTTCTTATAAAAATAAGAGATTATAAATCACGTTCAAGGTTTTATTTTTGTCTACTTATTTACATTCTGACTATTCTAGACAGAGTATTTGTAAAGCCTATACACTATGTACTGATACGCTTGTTTTCCTCAGGGTAAGAATAAAAAACATTTTGCTAATATCAGCTGTTCAATGAATAAAAGTTCTTTCTTTTAGAATCTACTCAATGAATTATTTATTTTGCAAATGTAAAATTCAAATTATGAATAGCTGCTTAAGT